AACATCGGTACATCGGGCTCAGCTAGGCGGTGCCAGTCGCGGCTTCATCTGTGGAACGTAAAACATCAAAGATAAACATCTCCAGCCTTGGGTTCAATGACACCTTCAACATTAACAGATTGTTCTGTATAATGTACTGTCAATAAGAACTTTGATCTGAAACACTATTCATTAGAAATCTTTCGCGCAAAAAACATCACATATAAAAATTCCTTGAGTTATACCTGTGTGATGTTTGAGCTCTGAATAAGGTCGTATTATTATTATATAAATATTTTATATACAACAATCTGATAATGTTAAAAAAAAACTAGATTTAGAGGTATCTAGTGCTATAAAATGATTGTTTATGTCACACGACGGCGATAACTACGTGTTTTGACAGACAATCATGATACAACTGGTAGTATATAAATTTTAAACTATATTACACAACTTAGAAAAGTTAAATGTTTTTTGGTAATAATATGAAATAAGACATATATACGTATTTGTGTATATATATTAGTTCTACTACAAGGCACGAATGACGTCAATTATATAATTAATTATCAAATATATCTTTATATAAGTGTTTATATATTTGTACTCAAAATGTACTATTTATATCTCTATATTTTTTCAACATTGTCGTAAGCAATGCGTTGCGACTGATATAATTTAAACATGCACTGTGTTTATAATACTTTACAATTTCTTCGTTTTACTCGACGATAAAAAAGATAAGTTTCTGTATTTTCATTGATGTTTGTTTTTGTCTGTCTGTTTGTTTCCGAGTAAGAAATACATCGGATAAAAGTATGTTTAGTCCGAGCTTGGACCGTCACACTACATACGAAGCGTTTCCCATTGCTCATTCAATGTTTCGATATTAATGTAATAAAGTGAGAAGAATATGAATTAAGAACTGTTAACGCGGCGTATGTAGTGAGAAAGCGGACCAAGACTAAGCGTATTGTGGGTAATAGTTATTTGGATCGATGTTTGAGAGAGAAACATCTCGTTTTAGCACAAAATATATTCTCACTGTAATCAGTAAACCACATCTCAGCTGAATCTTAGCCAGCGAACAATAAATAGTACGAACAAAAACATTATTCATATGAAATTCACGAAACTAAGGACTATAAAATTAATAATTATATATATTACGTTTTTTGCTTCTAATTCTAATTAATTATCGTTAATATTTTGTTTCCTACGACATTATCGTGTCTAAATCTATCGCTGGATTTTTATATATAATAATTATGATTTCCTGAACACTTTCCTACTTGTTTCAATTCAGTAAACTCTTTGTTTCCTTTCTCCCTGGGTACTTACATATGTATGTATGTATATCCCGCGTGTTCGTAGTGTCGGTGGGTATGGGCACGTTGTCGCGTCATATTTTGGCTGCGCCTACGCATCCTCGATGCACATGGATCTATTAAATACTGGACACGTGTTACTACTACAACAATACATTAGTACAACTATATCTACTTGAATAATTTAGATTATTCTATTGATTTAATGTTTATGTTTATTGTGGTCCGTCGAACAGAGACTCTAATGTATATATGTATGTATATGTTTTAAACAGTTATCCAACAAACATACACGTGTCCCCGATATCTCTAATGACGTTCTATTTAGTTCTCGACTCGTATGTAATATTTATATTATATAATATTTGTTTCCAGCAGCCGTCTTTGTCCGTTTTTTCTGACCCGTCATTATCCTCGTAGCTTCAATTGTTTCATTGTTTAATCGAGATTAAAGTGAGTGTTAGCATACGTCATTATTCTTTTAATAAAAAAATATATGCAAATGATTTCTGTTTTGTTGATGAGGAGAATTAAATTGGTCGTGTCAATTGTATTACGGCGATGGAAATTTAAAAATACATATGTAATTAACATTAACGTGGAAAATAAGACGTAAATATTATTTACATTGTTGTTCTTGATGAAGTTGACAACTATAGTTGTAGAACATGGTCTAGAACACACACTTTATAAACATGACTTCTATATATATATCTTAATATAATTGTTAAACAGCGACCGTGAATATAATAAATAAACATTAAAACTTAATAAACTTGTTAAATATTGAACCTCCAGTTAACTCCTGGTTGTTGTTTGTTAAGTTTTTCATTAGCATTACGAGACCGAGAACGTGTTCAAGACTTAGAAAAAATAAGACACATTGTTTTATATCTACATGTTTGAGTGACCGAATCGTTTTTTGTCAAAAATCTTTTTATTCAAAGCATCTTTTAATAAATATTCCCTAACTTGATCTAATAGGTTCATTATTCATATTCGTCCCAGTAACAGTCGACACCTTAATTAATCGTCAAGTGAAGTGAAGTTGCCCGTGGAGTGGTGCTTCATTGAAGTACTTTCATGTGATCACATGTTTTCAGTGCTCCTTATTTAGTTGCATGTTGTCAGTGCCTCAAGGTCACACGTGGGGATATCATAGGATTGATAACCCCGTGTGGCTCTTGTCATGAGAACTTCAGGTGAAACTTTTTAACGAATATTGAAGTAGAGTAACTTCATTTTCTATTTCAATGCCATTGCTTGTTTATCCATCTAGTCTCTAGATAGTTTTCGAGACATGTTTAGTGAGTAATGTCTGATATAAACGGACAATTTAGTGTTTTATGTTTCTGTGAGCGGCGCTCGTCTGGGCCGTGGCTCATCTCTCAAGGCCACACGCGCGCTTGTTATGCAAACCCACCACGTGTAGTACATTATGACGAGGTCGTTTTATAGAAAAAAATACGAATTATATGTATTACATCATTATATATGTAAATTAATATTAAATTTAATATTTATTATGACAACAATATATATATTATACACTGATTGTGTTGGTTTATATAAGTTATGGAGGGGTTTTGTGAGCGACTCACGAGAGGTTTCTTGAGAGTTAGAACGACTGAATTGACATTAAAAGATACTCCGTTTTCACAAATATTTCGATCTCTCCTAGGGAGAGAGTATCCGTTTTAAATTTTTCTCTTTCTTTTCGTATAATATTGTATCTTATGTAAAACATATATAGAATTTTGAAGTTTTATTTCGACTATTGATCGTTTGTTTGGCACTTATCAGTATATATATTCTCTTTAAATCCCAATGTTTCCGTCCACTATATAATGCCGTCATATTAGTGGTGTGTTCATGCCTCCACGTGTAACAAACAACAAAAACACACAGTCCTTTAAATAAACTATACAATCTGTTTTACAATATAATGTTGAATACAGTCATTGTTCATATACTGGTTATTAAGTACGTTGTGTTTCCCATTACTTATCTCACATTTGAGGTCTATTTCTTGGCCTGTCCGCTGATTAATATTTTCAATTCGATCTATTTCCTTTCTTGGTCACTATGATAATAATGATGAATGTATTAATATTATTATAATTATATCATGATATATAACACTAGCGCTTGACTACGGCTCCTGTCTGATAACCTAGTGATATCTTATCGTAGGTTCCTATTTTATATATATTAATTTGTTTGTTTGTCTGTGCGTATGGAATATTGGCAGAGCAGTTAAAAGCAGATGTAATTAAATCGTTTGTGCTGGATTTTCTTTATATAGGTATTCCTATTATAGTGTAGAATATTACAGTTTTGATGTCAATATATAACAAGTCGTGTGAACTATGACGTCATATGAAATAAAAAATGTTGGAGAACAAAAGATGGCGGACAAGATACATATATGTATTTAAAAATAAAATAATATAACTCAAAATAAAAGCTTTTGTTTTAATTTCTATATATAGTTTTTTAATTTATTTTACCATTTATATTTGTTGATGACAGCGAATATATTTTTATATCAGATGATCACAAAAAAAATATTTTATTTTTATAATAAGTCACAAGTTAATGCCGTATCCTTTGTTAAGTAAACCTGGTTTAACTAGTTTCCCCTTTCTTGAGCACTTTACTTCTTAAGTTTATTATTTAATCATCATTTTGATGTCCTATTATTTTAACGCTCATAATTATTTTATTTATAACATTCCCATCCGTTTTCGGGGAAGCAAATTTTTCAAGTATTTTAATATCGAACATGAGAGGTACATTTTGAAGTTTTTTTTCTCATTAAAATCTGTTCCGTGAGAATCTTCTAAGCTCACAACAGAGTAACGTGTAACATCCGTAGTGAGTGTTCTCGTCTGGTCGCAGCGTGTACTTGTATGTGAATATTAAATATTTATTCTTTCAGGATATTGTTTTATAATAAATCCTTCACGCGTTGTTTGTTGATGCTGCACCCTGCATGTGTTCCTCTCATCCTCATCTGCTGATCATTGTTTTTCACACAGACCGTCCAACAGACAACAGACGTCATCTTCTCCAACACTTGTGTTTTAACGACCTATTTATTTATTTCTCGTACATATTTTAATGTCATTCTAGTTTGGTAAACATATAAAACACATACCATAAAAATATAATTATTTGTTTACGTTCAAGTTGAATATTTCCTCGATGACTGAATACATTTCAAACCTTACTACATATGATTCAGATGCATGAAAATAATTAATTATCAACAGTTTTTCTAGATAACTTAGTCAGTGGTGGCCTAGTGGTTAAAAGCACATGCTTCTCAAGCCTGAGGGCGCGGGTTTCGATCCTGGCAAGTACCAATGTGATTTTTTCCGAGTTATATATACTTTCTAAGAGTATTTAGACATTAATGGATTAATGCATTACCAAAAGTGATTTGATGTCAGGCAGGCGGCTAGTAGTAAAAACAATTAGCCAAAACTAATTCACAACATGCAAGCAGACCCTGGCTAAAGCTTGGAAAATTGTCAGGAAAAGAAGAGTTTTCTAGATAACGTACAGAATCGTCCCTCGGGGGCGAGGATTTTTTTATTAAAAAAAAAATAAAAAATTTTTTGCTATTGTGGTTTGATGCGCTTAAAAAGGCAATTTTAATTTTAAGAAGAGCGTGAATATAAATTGATGTTTAAAGTGAGTCCGCTCATTAAACAAAGTTCCATGGCTTTAGAGGCTGGCGTCCACCGGTTACTGGACTTACTGGGACATTCATTAATTAAAAGAGAGGCGCTGGGAAGTGAGAAGTTTTATAAACAATCGACTAAGAAGCGACTCGGACAGAGGGGTGCTGCTACAGCTAACAGCGAAGATGAAGATAGGCTATGGACCAATGAGAATTTAAGCTGAGGATACAAGGAGCTTGGGATGGTTAAAAATCGCTCGTGCCTCACTGTGAACACACCCTAACAAACGGTTCAGTTGTCTCACGACAGGCGCTGGGCGGACAAACCTCATATAAAAGTTCAAAATTTATTACTTCACGAAATTGGTCTTCAAAAAAAAAAAAACTTTCATTTTAGAAGTTTTTCGACTTCAATATTTATAAAAAGAAGAAACTCGTTTATATATTAGAATATAATATAATGTGTCACATCAACATACACAAGAATAGACATGTTTTTAACGATAGCTTCAATGATAAGTGAAAGACAGGCCACACTCGACGATATTGGATAGCCAATAAAACTGAACTCAACGTGGCTATTTTTCTGAACTAGCTCGTGCCCGCGGTTCCTCCTGGACCACCTCGGCACTTCCCGGAACGTTGTTTTTTAACTCTTAATTGAGTTACACAGTTAAAGTCTGTTTAGTTTAGTTCAGTGGTTCAGAGAAACGAAATGAAAATGCACACAAAACAAATGTTAAATGTTGATATAATTATCTTCGCTTGACAATATGATGTTATGTTATGTTTTTTATGTAGTTTTATATAAAAAAAATTTGTTATATATGTATATGAAGCAGGTGTATATACACTTCCTTACAATATAATATTGATTTTTGACTTCGATTATAGATAAAGGGTTATGTTATATAAAGGTGTTCCGATTACGTAAACTAGCAGATGTATCGACGATGATTAGATTAAAAATAACATCGAATTATACATAATAAATACTTATCAAAATAACTACCGAGACTACATACACAAAGTAACGTAGTGTTAGAACTACACGATTTATACTACAGATACGTGTAGTTAAATAACAATAAAGACTCACGTATCCCGTCGTAAATTGACACATTTTAGGATTACACCGTGACAGGGCAATGAGTTTAAAAATATGAAACGGTTTATGAGTGTGATGAACTTGGGGCAAATATAAACTGTGGCCGAACAGACAGACAAGTTAGTGAGCGTTTTCTTATTATTATATATCATAGTTATATTTTCGGTAATGATAACAAAATGGCTGTCGTATTTATTTCGCGTTGGAGCCCGTTTTAATTTACTTCATCAACCCCTTTCATAATTTCCATTTAAAAACAAAAACCCTTCATTTTATTCATTAAAAGTGGATTCCATTAAACGGCTTCATTTAATACCATCAAATTGGTCAGCATCTTTATATTAATAGATCTTTTATTTTATATAGATAGCGTGATCAAAAAACTTGATCATTATTTCTGTTTAAAACCAGTTTACTGATGACACACACATTTATTCTGTCTCTTTCTTTACTTATTAGTTTTGTAACTTAAACTAAATAAATATTCATATTGAGCATTACTTTATATAACACTAACATTACTTAATATGAAAACAACTGTTTTGTATGCTCAGTAAATAGAATACATAATGTAATCACCTTTATATAGTACTTTGATTATGAGAAATCAACTAGGTTTTTAACAAGAAACTCCTTGTTATTTTAAGGAATATCTCTAACAATCTGTTCCTAAGTAAAGTATATTATTTTGAGGACCTGTCTTTTCCACTTGTTTTATCTAAGACGGGCCCGCTGCAGGGGAACCTTGGACGGCGCCGAATATAATCATTAGCATACAAACGAGCTGAGACTGGGACCTGCAACTAAAATGAGAAGAACGATCGACGTGTTACACAAACATAATAACTTACATACAGGTTACAGTTAAAATTAATCTTAAAGTAAGAAAAATAATTATTATTGGACGGTGAAGGTGAGGTAAGGATAGGGGCCTAAGCCTATAGAGAGGAGCTTGGACAGTGGAGGTGAGCGTTTTAACGCGCGTTAGATAGGGTCCCTTAAACCTACACACCTGGGTCACAAGTCCCAGTCACTGTTGAAGCTCCTCTCACTACAACAACGATGGACCCGACACAACGCACCGTTGAATACATTGAATGATGAGGCGCTTCGTCTCTATCAAACTATTAACTAATAAATCGTTTGTTAAAATATTCATTTCTAAAATAAAGTTAAAACAGTGAAATCATTTATTTTTTATTTTGTTCTCGTTTAAACAACATTTAACATATATAATTTTTTTTTTCCGTTATATGTATATGAATAATATTAACACACGAACCGGTCTTACGAGTTCTCTGTTTACAAAATACAAAAATAGATTTTTCGACTTCGTTTTTATGTTTATGTTTTTTATACTTTTTTTGAATTTATAATATTTGATGCAAAAAAAATATTGTAATGTAACATATATAATGTTTTTATATTATATTGAAATTTATTTTTTTATTTGTACATATAGTATGTGCTGATCCGATTAAAACATGTTTTTTTGTTATACAATACACACATATTATATAACATATATTGTATATTTTTAAATTAATTGTAAGCTTATTTGAGGAATACAACTGTTATATATATGTTTTAAAAGGAGGTATGTCATTTAAATTATAGGATAAGAATAAAAAAACAATGGATTGAAAAGGATAAGTTTTTAATATATATAAAATATGATACATATATGTACAAACATAAGAATTTATTGGTGGTCAAAATACATTTAAGTATAGTGTTTACAGAACCTTTGAAGACTGTACCATAGTAGATAAAACTCTATATATATAAGTAATCAATTGTTAGGATTTTAAGCTACAATTATAATTGAAAAACTATGTTTCTAAATATATTATTAATAGATGTGTTTATTTCTGTTTTAACGACACGTTAAAACGCGGACCGTCTTAACGCGGAGAGACACTATCAGTGAGGCAGTTAAAATAACGACCGTCGAACAGTTACATATGTATATAAATATTACAGATTATTTTGGATATAATAAAAATAACGTTTGGGTTTACGTAACAAATACTTTTACTAGGTACAATATTATATATTGAAAATAATATTACAAAGCAAAATGACTCATGTTTTAGGAATATTTGAGCTGTTAATATTATTTGTTTGTTTTTTAGACATAATTTCATAAAAATATACTTGAATATATTAAAAGAAATCAAATGTATATTAAATACTTTTTTTATGTACGTAATATATATATATTAAGAGTTTTTAATGATATAAAAGAAAAATGATGACATAGTATTCACACAGTCTGAGTCTGGTCAAGTCTGGTCAAAGCCTGGTCAAGTCTGGTCAAGTCTGGTCAAGCCTGGTCAAGTCTGAACGAGTCTGATAGCTTCTGATTGAACCTGAAACGAGTGTCGAATACATATCAAATCATAATGATATTTAATCCTTTACATTCGGCACACGGACCAGCGGCCATTAACTAGACGTGCCCAGTGTGACAGAAGACTAACACTTGTATTAAATATTGATTATATACTGTTATATCAAAGAAATAACAACAAAACAGTTAATTATTTGTTTATTATTATATTAATTATTTTCCAAAGTTATTTCTTAGTGAAGTCAAAATACAATTAAATGATTATATAGTATTTTTTTATACACAATTAGGCGAAGGTGTTTAATTAACACATTGAAGAATTAATACAATTGTATCATGTTATATATGTATAGTATATGTGCCGGCGAGTTTTGACGGCGAGTTGTCGGTGAGTTGTCGGCGTAGTTGTTATAAACTGTATTCGTGTGTTATCGATGGTTGAGGCGGCCGCGGCAGGGTAACAATCGATGTATTAGTATGCTCCTCATGTGACAGACATACATACACCTAGCTGCAACTAGCGTTACATACTACATACATACATTACACATAAAGATCATTTAAATAAATATATAATAACTATTACTCAACAATACTGTGAAGGTTTCTGAATTGTTGAATTCAATAAATTTGATTTACAATATAGGTAGGTAATTTACTTATGTAAAAAATAATATATGTACAGGTAGTTGGAAATGAATTGAATAAACATGTTGTATTGAATAGAATTATAAAAAACAAATTGTATGTCATTCGTCATGATCGTAATGAAGACGCCCACTTTAGATATTATCATAACCCGTCCTCTCCTTATACCTTACATAAATGTACGTAAACATGAATTTTGATACCAGTCCATTATTACAAATAACATTTAATACACAAATGTATTTAAAATAGAGGATGATTGTTGTTTAACACACGCGCAGACCTCAGAGAGATCGACTGACGATAAACATTTTGATTCCATATAAAAAACCAGCACGATACTGTTATGTTAAATATCATACATATATTTATAGAATATATATTAGAATGGAAACATAATCGTTGTAAACAGAGCCGTTTGCATACATTAGTTTATATCTGGTAACCGGTTCTTGTGTACTCAGATAGTCAGATCGCTGTTCACTGTATCTGATATATTTAAATAGTTGTTGCCTTTTATTAACACAACTATAATAACACATTGTTTGATTAAATTTTAGATCAACTCCGCCACTGGTCAATAGATGGCGGTTAGTTACATTGGATTAAATCTTACTTTATTAAACAAACTTGAAGATACTTTTAAATGCTTTTTAAATACGATTAATATGAAATGAACATTTTAATTTTTATATTAAAATGTATATTGTATTATATATTTCATTTGAAGTGATATTATTTATGTTCTAAGCTTTATGTTTTCTTCTATCATACACATGTCTTTTTGTATTGGGTCTGTTTGTGTGTTTGGTCTGTTCTCCTTTATATCTCCAATCTCTTCCAGTAATGATTACTTTTATTTTTTTCAAATCAATCGTCTCACACTTTTGTGTATTATACAAAAATAAATGCACTTATAAACACATCGGCGACTGAAAACGAGTAATCATATTAAGTCCCATATTAAGGTGATAATCTTTCGCTTATATTGTGCTAAGTATAAAACAGAGTAATTTCAGTACAGACTTATTATTATTGTGATGTTTGTTGTGTATCATAATCCAGGTTAATTAGTCCACCCTTGTAATGGGAGAATCTACTATAGATACCCGTAT